AGTCGAGCGGGAGTGAAAAGACGTGAGATATATAGTAGCATGTGAAGACTTGTGCATTGGGATTGTCATAGAAAAGTATAGGAAAATTATCGTATATTTATTCACGTTTTGTGTGATTTTGTTGTTGTTGTTCGTAAACTCTTCCCACAGTTTTGGAGATAGCAGGATCCAAATTGGTAGGTGGACTTGGAGTGCAACTATGGGTATCCTTTTCTATATGACTTAGCCCCTCTATTCAGGGGGGATACAATGTGCCAAAAAGGTGACCCAGGCTTGATGTGGTCTAGGTTCTTGGCCCTCCCTCTGTGTTTCGGGAGCGTCATGCTTGAAATTGTATTCATACTTCCATTCACAATTGGAAAAAAAAACGTATCACACGTGCTTGGATACCACGGACGGGCGCTACAGAATGCAGATATTTTATTTTAGTTAATTATAAAGTAGTGTTTGAAGGCTGTGTTGGGTTTTCCACAGCAGAGAGTTAGAATAAACAAACATTTAGATTCCCTTATTATCTTTTGAAACACACGTATAAAATTTCTCACCTAAACGTATTGTTGTTGGCTATGTTTTTGATATTTTCATTTAGCCGATTTGTATTGTGTGCTAAAAGGAGATTTTGCATGACGTAATGCTGACGTGTGAGAGTTAGAAATTTGTTAAATGTCTAGATTTGACATGACATCTCGAATTTTCCAGAGACATAAAATATTGTAATAATATAAAAATTCCAGTTAATTTATTAGTCAGTCATAGAATTTATTAGTTTATCAGGGAGTAGCTAGTGAGTCTGTTACAGTATCGCCGATCAATTACTGATGTGGTATTTTTATGTTACTTTGATTCCCTCAGAGTAGTATTCGCGAACTGTAAAAACAAAAGGATTTGTCAAACACTTTATTACAGAGCAGCACCTGGATGTTCTTTGCATTTGACTAAGTCTCAGTCAAAAGAAAGAGACTGGGCACGTGATTATGAACAATCCCAATCTTTATTACAATAAAAACAATCAAACCCAAGTAAAAAATTTGAGTAAGGGATTGTGTGATCAGTAGGAGTAATTCTACTTTTTTTGCTGCTAAATTCAAGGTTTTTATCAACAAAATACATAAGAATGAAGAACTTCTATTTCAAACAAAGACTCTCTATAATCTGTATCACTGTCTATCTCTATATAAACCCGAGTATCACTTCTAATCTCAAAATATAAGTCTATAGCAGGAGTCCAACAAAAAGCACATCTTAAAAAAGAATAACATAATATTATATGTATAATAATATTATATTATATTATATAAAGTATTCTCTCCTCAGGTACACGCACCATTCACTTGACAGAGGGCCACTCTCATGTGAAAAAGGAATGGATTCTATTCATAGCCTAGTTCATACTACAGGAAAAAAACAAGTTACGACCTTGATGACTCAGATAATCCTGTGAATATAATTCGTCTGCACACCATAAAGATAGAGTTTATGATGCCACAAGAATAGGCTTAGGCTAAAAAAAAAAAGAACTTGAGAAGACATAACTATCAATCAGACAGTTATGTGGACTGATATATTAATCAGGCTTGTCAAAATATTGTTGAATGTATACTTTTTTTTTTGTAGCCTAAGCCTATCTTGTGGCATTTTGTAGGAAAATTAATTATTTTACTTAATATACAGCAAAGTAAACAACACTGTATTCTAGTTATAATAATTAGCGTCTTAAAATACTGAATTTCTAAAACATTTTGTGTTAGTACTCAGTGCTACCTATAAAATAATTTGCCAGCACTGCTTACCAAATAAAGATCATCCTTAGTAATCTTACTTACTTATTTGTTGACAAAAATAGATGTTACTCTCCAAATACAATTGTTATTTTAGTTGTTAGATTCAGAATTTAATGCAAAGCTACACAAAAGGTTATCAGCGCGTAGCTGTTCCTAATGTTTCTTTAACTGAAAGCTGGTGTTAACCGCCCACCGTCAACTCTTCAGCTACTCTTATGTGATCGAATAGTGAGATTTGACTGTCACATTACAAGCGCACCGTAGGATTTTGGGAAAAATGGGTCGTTCGCCACGAAACCCTTGAATTCACAATCCGAAACGCTAACTACTAGGTTGTGCCCGAACATGGTTTGTAGTGAAGAACTAAGATATAGTTGAAGCATTATTAGTATGTTGTTGAATGTAAATATTAAGCTTTGCATCAAAATACCCTTTTCTTTTTAAGCCTAACACGGTTTTTCCATTTTCAGAGCTACAATAATAATAATAAAAGAGTGACGTAGGTCGACAACACTCTAAGTGAACTCTCGTATTTTTAAATCCACGTCAAATGTGTTTGTTATTAAGAAACAAAGCTACACAATGGGCTATCTATGCTATGGCCACTGCTGGAATCGACTCCCCGAACTTTAGATTAATAAGTCCACAGACTTACCACTGTTGGGAAACTAATTTCTTATTGTTTACTTGGACTTTAGTTTAAATTATTTTCAACAGATAATTTAAAGAACCCGCCAATAACAGAAAAACGTTACAATAATATAATACTTTATTTATTTATTGTGTAATGAAAGGATTGTTGAATGTATTCTTTGTTTGTTTGTTTGTTTTGGAATTTCGCGCAAAGCTACACGAGGGGTATCTGCGCTAGCCGTCCCTAATTTAGCAGTGTAAGACTAGAGTGTATTCTTTGAAAGGCCTGTATGTTTCTGGGCCAAAGCAGGCCAGTTGTCAGTGTGCTGGACGGTGTAACTAAGGTTCCGTGGTTCGCTTCCCGTTACCGAAAAAAAACCAAAAAACCTCACACTCCGTACTTTGAGGCCATGTGTGCGTTATAAAAGTGTAAGTCATATCCAACTATTCGGTTTGAGATGAGCAACGCAAGAGTTGGCTGTGGGTTGTGTTAACTGCCCTCCCCCTAATGTATCAGTTTAATATCAGATAACCCTAGTGCAGCTTTGCGTAAAATTTCTAAAACAAACAAATTACTGTAGAAAAAGTATCATATATATATGTGTTCCCAGACTCCAAAACATTATCAAAGTATTAAAATTAAAGAGTGTATTGCTAAATGTTATTTATTTGTAAGCATATATATATATGATCTAAATTGTTCTTAAAATATATTGTAACAGCAATTTATTTAATATTGTGCTGCCCCCTATTGACAACCTTCTGAAACTGAACCATATTTATTCATGTATACTACCTTTACCACTAAGTTTGACACCAGCTTCTAAAAATATAGCAAT